TGGATTTTTGTGCACACGTGGGGACCGCCCCACATGTGCACAAACCTCTCCCCCCCAAGTGCCCCCGGAGTGCTGATTTAACGATCCGCACTCACGGGGGCAACTTGGCTATTAGATATATAGATATGAAACTGGAGCCTGACAGAGCCTGTGGTGATCTATTGTCATCAATACTGTCCGCTCTAACTGGTAGTGGCTCTCTAGGGTTACAGGCAGAGGCTGCAGCAGGCTTCATGGGGGAATCACATTGTGCGTTTCCCTGCTTCCTTCATAAACCAGAGGTGGGGATAGGGAGAAGCACACCATTATGACATCACGGCATCTGACTTTATGAGAGAAAGTCAAGAGAGGGGTTGGGGGCAGCCATTTGTTTCTCATCTTGTAGTTTAGCCTTTGTGTGCTCTCGTGCTTCTATAGTAGCATGGCAGTGTCCATATAACTAAACGAATTACATCTCTACAAATCATTGGCCGAGTTCAGACTGGCAATTTGAAGCGCTAGGGAGTCGTGGCAAAGAAAAAACGGAATAGACCTGGAACGACTTGTTACCGGTATTCCCGTTCACACTGCAGTGAATGAAGTGGGAGGAACCATGGAGGAAGCGCAAGGGAGCGTTCGCACTGTCGCTCGCCCCTAGCAAGCTGTTAGCGTGGTTTCCATACTTGGCTGCGTGCGCCTATGCGCATGGGCACATCAGCAAATAAGGCAGGATCGACTCCACACTCAGCACACCAGAGCATTCCGATCATGTGCATGTGCGCACATGTGCACATAACCTGCCCTGGAACCAGCTGGCACCTATTATCAACTGTGGGTTGTTCCTGCCTTAGCAGCGCTTGTGTTCACACTCAGGGAACCGGGATCAATGCGCTGTATACACGGTTTGCTACCACTTTAACATGGTATCTTTTAAACTCAGGAGGGAAGTGGCACAAGACAGCTTGAGTACGGCTGGGGGACACCTGAAACATGTGCCTGTGTGAACCCGCCCCTTTAATCTGCTACTGAAATGCTCCTCAAATGTTTGCCTGCCGGGCCAAGCTGCCAGTCTGAACGCGGCCATTAAAGTTGCTTTAACAAAGATTGTGCATTATAACTTATTAAGAGCTATTAAAGAAAACACTTTGCAGATCATGAGGTTGTAATTTCTCTGAGAAATGGCACAAAAAGAAGCATTAGATGGGTTTTCTTCCCTCAAAAGGAAGCATCTGTTTTTATACTACGGTCAGATTTATATAAAAGTAGTCTCCGGAGAGAGACCACACATGCAAACTTGGAAGCATTGCTGACTTTTTAAAAATTACTGCCTAACAAATAATAATACTTTGTTCTTTGTTTAATTAAGAAAAAGTGGGTTTATGCTGAAAGGTCCTGATCTGGAATATCAGTAATCATCTGAGCTATCCATATTGGGCTTTCTGTATTTTGGTTTCCTGGCACTGCTGTAAAGTGTCAGGTAATCCAATCTACTCCATTGGAGAACTCCATTTGAGATATAGGTAGTATGTGCAGCTTGCACACCACTGAAATACAAAGCAGAGTTACACCATTGTAACCCATTCAACAGAATTAGTATCTACTTACAATGCAATCCTAAGAGTACTTCTCCAGGGAGTAAGTGCCATTGAATAGACCTCATTTAGGATTCTGAATAGACCTTCTTAGGACTACTCTCTTAATGCCTCACAGAGTTATGTTTTTCTAAGTGGGCTTTGAAGCACATAACTCTGCTTAAAACGGCTCTGTTAGTGACCCAAAGGGTGTGTTCCTCTAGAAAGACACGTGGCCTGTTTTCTTATGGTTCCTTGAGGATCTTAAACAACATGGATACTACAGATTACTGAGAAAACATCCTAACTGCATTCACACTAATATTTTACTCCTGGATTTGCCTCCAGATGTTCCACTACTGCCATACAATTTATACTTGGCCAGCAATGGCACAGTAAACTAGAATGAGATAGTGCAGATGGTTGAGGATTAGAATGCAACTACTTCTGTAATGTTTGGCAGATGTAAGAACCTTGTACCACTTGGTGATGCCGGAAATCCAAGGGAGAAATCCATATGCTATGCTCCATTCAGAGTGAACAAACACTGAGCACTGCATGAAAGAAGATGTATTTTTCTTTCAAACTGTTTGCTTGTGCACACATGCACACTAACATGTGACACCAAATAGCTTGATTTTTAAAAAAAGATTACATAGTGCTTACTGGCAACAATCTGAACTGGGGGTGGGAATAGAAGAATGCATCCCTTTGTGGGAGCAGTGGGAATACATTCACTCCCCCCCCCCGATATTCTTAGTGAAGAAATGAGCACTGCATGGGAACAGAGGCAATTTCTTTCCTCAGATTTATTTGCCTTTGTGCTTATCCGCATGAATGCTTAAAGCAAATATTTTGAAAGAAAAATGACAGTCCTGTCTAGCACAGCTCTTATTTGCAGTCTGTCTAAATGTGAATGAAAAGGATACATTGCAACTAGTAGGGAGAGAATTTGACTCTGGTGGCATGCACCTTAAGTTGTGGATTATACCCTAGGATCCTTTAAATGATGAAGAGACTGTATACAGGGAATGCCTCCCCCAAGCCCATTTATTCTCCCGACTTAAAATATCCTTTAGTTGCCTCATAATGGTTTAAAGAACCACAGCTAAATTGGGTGAACATCTAAATACACACCCAAATGTTGAACTAACATGTTTTTCACATCACAGCTAAAACAAGTGCTCAATAGCTGTTTTCTTGTTGTTTGGACACAGTGCTGATGATTGGGGGGGGGGGCTGGAGCACTGCATTCCTTTGAAGGCAATGCAGATGTGGTTTCACTATACAGCATTTAGATCAGATGTGCATCCCAGTGTGCATTCTGTTGAAAGGATTGTACATCTACTTTATAAACAATACAAACTGAACTTGGGTAAGAAGATAGTAAGAGTTTGGGAAATAGCACCTGTTGGATTTCTACCTAGACACATCCCCTGAATCCAGTATCAGACTGAAACACCCAGGCAAAATGTGGGTGTATAGAACCTAATTTGTAAGTGAGAATAATATGTGAGAGTAGACTACATGTTTCTTTACTGCTTACATGGCACCAAAGTTAAGCCATGTTAACTTAGAATTTCTGTGTTTTGGGGAGACATGGGTTTTGTGTAACTGTGTTTTCTAACTTGAAGGTTTAGATGGTTAAGTGACCTGTTCTGCCAGAATGCTGTAATTTTCATGTCAATTTCGACAGTACAAAATTCTACTAGACACTTTAATCCAACAATTAGTTTGGTTTTCTTCTCTTAAACCATAATTAAGATTTTAAAAAGGAATGAGATGTGCTGGGCTTGGTGGAAACAATATTCCCACTCTAAATAAGTCAGGTGATGGTTCCTAGAACTAAGAATGGATTATTTTTATTTTAGGCAGTAGTCTGCCACCACAAACAGACATTGGCACATTGCAAATGTTTGACTATGGAAGTCAAACCTCTTACAATTTTTGCATCATTAAGGTAAAATATGTATTTGCATTCATAACGTAAAAATTATGTAGTCAGATCTCACCTAATTGCCTGTGTCAGAGCCCAATTTTGTCTTTTACCAAAATTCAGACTTCTACCACTTAAGGTAACAGGTTGCTGGCTTAGACCAGCTTTCTTCTTATCATGTGTTTTAACAATCAGCCCACTTACAGCTTGAAATGATACAGGCTTCACCACTTGATTACTCTGAACACTTACACAGCTACAGTGTTTTACTGGTGTTTTGTAAATCTGCAGAGGTAAGGGTAAGATACTCAGCCGAGTGCAACTGTGAAACTCTTGAATTTAGGAATGGAAGAGTTTTTCTTCAGAACTCTTTAAGATGGACTTTTGTAGTATCTGTTATGAAAACAAATTGGTCCAAATAAAGAGAAGGCATACTTAAGAAATCAAAGGAAGAGAGGTGTATAAGCCTTTTTAGAAAAACAGATGTTTCAGCAGCAAAACAATATACTAGCTCAAATGACAAAATGCCAGGTTTCAAATCCCATGTCAGTCCACTAGATTCAGCTTGTATTGTTGCTCCCTCTCAGTTTTCAGTTCCTCATATATTAAATAGAAATAATTATGACATACCTCTGAGGATTGTAATGCAAATGATAAAAGCATTATGCACCTTTAATTAAATTTTAATTGGCCATCAAATATATTAATGTACCTATTCATTTTTATCCCATCCTTCTTCCAAGAAGCTCAAGGCAGTATTCACAGTTCTCCCACTTTGGTCCTCACAACAGCCCTGTGATGGAGGTTAGATTGATGAGAGAAACTAACTGTCCGGGAGATTATCCAGAGAACTTCAGGACATTTGGGGGATTTGAAGTCAAGTCTCCCAAGTACTGGTCTGATCAGTAACCACTTCACCATGCTGGCTCATACCTAGAAGAAGTGGCATATTATTTCTTAAAATAATATAGTCATTGTTACACTCATTCACCTAGAAGAAGTGGCATATTATTTCTTAAAATAATATAGTCATTGTTGCACTCATTCACTCATTCACACACACACACACACACACATACACATTCCAGGTGAGGGGGGGTTGGTTTAGTTTTTCTTTTTGCAGTGTACTTTTAAATTTTAATATCTACTTTTTGCCACCATCAAGTTGTTGTGGCAGGGGAGAGATGTGTTTTCTTTTTCATTTTCCATGAGAAAAAGTCATGAACGAAACAAAAACTGAACCTTGGTCCCTCCCTGGCTGTGGTCCACTGGCCTTTTTGGCTGAGCTATATGACCAGCTGGCTCCTTTCAGTCTCTGTTAAAACTGATCTCTTTCTCAGATGATGCTGGGAAGTGACAAATGTTTGAACATATTACAAATCTGTTAGTAATGAAGCAGATTCCTTTGGTGGGGAATGGCAGGGAATCTCATTTAAATCACCAGGAGCGAGAAAACTCACACAATGGTAAAATGAAGCTCTGATGACAGAATTCAGGGTAGGTTTTTGGTGTGACAAAGTCCCAACGATTTTCACAATGTGGTAACCTTAGATCTTACTAAGGTTACTAAGAGAGAGAGTTTGGTGTAGTGGTTAAGTGGGAGAACCGGGTTTGATTCCCCACTCCTCCACTTGCACCTGCTGATGTGACCTTGGGTCAGTCACAAGCTCTGGCACAGCTGTCCTTGAAAAAGAGCAGTTGTGTCAGAGTTCTCTCAGCCCCACCCACCTCCCAGGGTGTCTGTTGTGGGGAGGGGAAGGGAAAGGCGTTTGTAAGCTGCTCTGAGACTCCAAGTGAAGGGCGGGGTATAAATCCAATCTCCTCCTCTTCTTCTTCTTCTACTATGTGGGGGTGATTTTTACAAGATGAGTTCACCATTCAAAAACTGAGGATCCAAGTCATTTTGTGTTGATCTGTTATGATTATGTGCATTGCCTCAGAACGAAGACATCAATCTGTATTCTGACCATTGAATCCTCAGAGGAGCCAAGGATTAATCAGCAATGGTTGCTTCCACATAGAAGCTTTATTCTGGTTTGGCATCCAAACTGGAGTGAGTTTTTGGAAACATCCATGTGGCATAGTCCCCTAATTGTCCACTTTCCAGGTTTTCTCCTGAACATTTCTGTTTTATTTATTTCAAATATTTCCATGTCATCTCCTCAGAGTTTTGTTAATATTACAGAAGGATAGTATTGTGAGAGCCTTCCTGACCACCTTAGCAGGGTATTCCACAAAGTTGGAACCACCACAGAGAATGTACATGAGCAGGTGGTTGCAGATCTTACCACTTTTCATGGAGGAGCTTTAAATGGTTCTCTTCAAACAACCAAAGCTGCTGTGGTGGATCACAGTAGGAGAGGCAGTCCTGCAATTACGTGGGTCCAAAGCAGTGAAGGGCGACCAGTACCTTGAATTGAGGCCAGTAAATGATCAGTAGTCAGTGGACGGACTACAGGATTGGAGTGACATACATGTTCGCCTGGCATCCACGAATACTTAGGTTGCTGCATTCTGTACCAACTAGAGTTTCCATATTGACTTCAAGAGAAGACCCATGTAGAGTGTATTACAGTAGTCTAGCCATGGGATAACCATGGCATGGATCCATGTGATCAGATTTGCCAAGCTGTGATAGGCAGCCAACTGCCAGGTTAGCTGGAAGGAACTGATAGAGTGCTTTTTTCCCATCTGGATTGGTTTGTGTTTCCAGTAGAAATGCTGGGCCCAGAGTAACCCTGTGGCTCTTAACTATACACAGTGTCAGTAGGACATATTCAAAAGCGGAGAGTCACTTCCAGGCTTGATTACCATAACTCGCTTTACATGGGCTTGCCCCTGAGACTGATCCAATAACTCCAAGTAGTCCAGAATGCAGCAGCACACCTGCTGATGGCATTGCCTGTGCGGGCATGCATTCAGCCGGTATTGTGCCGCTTGCACTGGCTACCAATTGACTACCAGGTCCATTTCAAAGTGTTGGTACTAACCTTGAGAGCCTTATGTGGCCTGGGACCAACATATCTGAAGGACCGCCTCTTCCCATATGTGCCCCAAAGAGCCTTGCACTCACAGGACCAACATTTACTGGTTACCCCTGGCTCAAAAGATGTCCTCTTAGTCTTGACCAGGGCCAGGGCTTTTTCTGCCCGGCCCCCGGCCTGGTGGAATCAGCTCCCACTGGAGATCAGGGCCCTGCGGGACCTTTTATCATTCCACAGGGCCTGCAAAACAGAGCTGTTCCACCAGGCCTTCGGCTGAGGTGGCCGTTGTCCACCTCAGTTGGCCTCCCTGCTTTAGTTCCCAACCTGCTGAAAGGGCCCATCTGATTCCACCTTGTGGCCCCAACAGATTTATATTGCTGTTACCAATTTTATTGTTTATCGTTTTTATGATTTTAATGTGATTTTATTGTAACAAGTCTTTGACTCGATTTGTTGTGATCCACCCTGAGCCTGTTTGGGGAGGGCAGAATAAAAATCTAAAATAAAATAAAATAAAATAAAATAAGAGTGCAGTAGCCTTCAAAACTTCAGGACTCCTGACTAGCATTACCTCCATCTTCAGCTTGTTCACTCTTAGCCAATTAATCACAGCAGTAAGGCTAGTTCAAGGCATTTGTAGATTCACCGGGTGATTTAGGTAAAGTGATAAAGAGCTGGGTGTCCTCAATATATTGATAACAGCCTACTCCAGAATTGTGAATGATTTCTCCTAAGGGTTAAAGAATCCTTCTCTCCTTACATTGTTCTTCCCTGCAAAAAAGCAGCTCCAGTGGCTGCGTTAGGAAAAGATTACATATAATATGTTCTATCCAAAATTCATGCTCTGGGAACATTGGCCACAGGATACTTCTGCTGTCTCTGAAAAGGAATATTTAGTACTTAGTATTTAATCTCTAAGCTAAAGAGTCCACTAAAGACTTTTCTTGTCTTTTGGCTGCAGATATTAAATTCGTTTTCGCAAGATCCAGATGCAAATTGCAAGTATGGGCTTTATTTTAGAGATGGAAAAAGGAAAGTGGATTATATCCTGGTCTACCACTACAAGAAGTCCTCTTTCGGTAGAACACTCACCAGACGAATCCATTTTAATGACTTGGGGCCTCGTAGTGTCAAACATGATCAGCCGCTTCCTGGAAAAGGAGGGGAGATGAACATGGATGAAAAGGAACCACACATGGATTACCATGAAGATGACAAGAGATTTCGCAGAGAAGAATACGAAACCAATCTTATGCAGGCAGGTCTTGAGTTGGAAAGAGATGAAGATGTAAGTATTCACTTTATTTTTAATTAGATGTGCTAACATTTGCTAAGTCTAATGGGCAAAATTCTAAAAATATTTATGAACTACTGAAAACTTCAGGGGTTTTTAGTATGAATCAAACATATTTTGCAGTCATCCCCCAGGCTATCCCTCACATCTTTGTTGGTGGAAAGTGTTGTCAAGTCACAGCCAAGTTATGGTGACTCTGTAGGGTTTTCAAGGCAGTAGACAAACAGAGATGATTTGCTATTGTCTGCCTCTGTGTAGCAACCCTGGACTTCCTTTGTGGTCTCTTTTCCAGGTACTAACCAGGGCCAACCTGCTTAGCTTATGAGATCTGGTAAGATTGGGTTAGTCTGGGCCATCCAGGTCAGGTCCCCTGCCCAGACCCTCAAGTTCTCAGAACATAATCTGAGTGGGTTAAATCAAAGATGTTGTTTCTGTTATTTTATGGAGTTTTAATCCCACAATGTCCCCCCCCCCCTAGTCAGAATAACAAGACAGACAACAGTTTGGAAGTAAACAAGGGCCACTTTATTAACTATTTAACAAAACATTTCAGGAAGAGCTCAACTAAGCGAGCACGAAACAGGCAAGGCAGGTGTCACTCACCTGACCAACCTCCTTGCCCTTTTCTCGGGCTGGTCACCTAGCTCCGGTCTTGAGCCATTGGTCTGGCTCGCAACTGGCAGCCCAGCAAAACTGATTGCCACCTAGGAGCGCCTACCCCTGAAGCCTTACAACTTGTAGAGAGGAGACTTACCCTAAGAGGTTCCCAGAGGTGATCACTGTTGAGTACCCTGGACCGTAAAATCAAAAGGCAGTTCCTGATGATGCCCTGTTCCCTAATGGGGAAATGCCGTAAGGTGTTCACCGGTTCCGATTTCTTGCCCACACAAATCTGCCACTGCCAAGGCCAAGCCTCTGCTTTGGCCTTTGCTCCCCACTAACAGCCCAAGGCTGACCTAATCCCTTGCCCCAAGTCCTGTAAAAATAACCCTGTAATGATTCCTTGTTTTAAGAATGTGTGTTTTCCTTTAAATGTTTGGTTGGAGCGCAGTGATAGCAGAGTAGAATGAGAGGGACAAGTGTGCTGTGATTGGTGGATGACAGAGTGTGGGAGGAGTTTTTGAAATGAATCTCTGTGTGTGTCTTGAAGTCAGTTATGAAAGTCAGTTAGAGAAAGCAGTTGGAGTTTTGAATTGGAGTAAAAGTCAGTCAGTGAGCTGACTCCGTGTGGAAAATAAAGAATTTAGAGTGTAGTATATGTCTCTTCAAAAGTGAAACTCTAAAGATCTGAAAGAAAGTCAGAAATACAAAGAGCTTTGCGCTTCCGGTCTGGCTCCCGCGAGTTGTTCTGTGTAGATCTGTGTGGGTGTCAGTCAGTTATAGAAAAGTCAGTTAGATAAATCAGTTGGAATTGTTCAGTTACTGAGTTCAGTCAGTGAGGGTTCTGATAGTACTGTGTGGGATGTTAAAGAGTACAGTATATATGCCTTCAAAGTGAGACTCTAAAGATCTGGAAGGAAGTTAAAATTACCAAGAGCTTAGCCTGTGTGCCTGCTAAAGAGTGATTCCTGTTAGTGTTGGATCTGAGTGTCAAAAAAAAAGAAAGGACTGTGTATGTGTTACATGTGCCAGACATATTTACAAGTCCCTTATTCCCAAACTGTTACAGATAAACCAGCCTCATATTTTGTTCTTATTTCAATAAATCCTCTTTTGTTCAAGTTTATCCCAGAATTCAGTTCTATCTTTCCTCAGGACCACATAGATCCCTGAAAAGCCTAGACTCTGGGTCACATTACCAACAGTAGGTAATGAAAGAAGATTTGGAATTTGTTTAAATTCCTGGTGGCAGCAGAAACTATCCTGTTTGTGAACACAAAGTATAATTTAAAGTAATAAACAGTCCTCCCCAAATAAGAGGACGCCACAAACCCATTGCCCTTGTCTGATAGATGCACCCCGTCTGCCCTGTACAGGACCTGAAACTCGACCCATATGTTGGGGTGCGGCAATAATTGCCCTAAACCACCCTCCATGACCTTCCTCATCTGGCGGTTGGCTTTATGCCTAGCGGAGGTCTCCCAAATTGCGCCATACCTGGCGGGGCAGAATAGCTGACCCAACTATCTGCACTCTGGGCCACTTTGCTCTTATTATCACAAGGTCAGCCTCCGCTTGTAACACCAGGGCCTTGCCCTTCATAGTGAAGCAGAATAGCCGACCAGACTATCTGCAGTCTGGGCCATCTTGCTTTTATCACAAGGTCAGCCCCTGCTTGTAGCACCATGGCCTTGTCCTTCATGGTGAGGCAGAATAGCCAACCAGACTATCTGCACTCCAGGCCACCTTGCTCTTATTATCGCAAGGTCCGCCTCCACTTGCAACACCATGGCGCAGCACCTGAAAGAAGAACCCCATTAATAACTTAACCATAACATTAGACTTTGCAATCCTGCACGATCTCGGCAGTGGCTCGTTCTTGGTGGAGATGGTGGTGGCCCATTCATAATGGTGGTTGCGGTGGCCTGTTCATGTCGGCGGCAGCACGTTTTTGGCAGTGGCTGCCCATTTACACCAGCGGCAGTGGCCCGATCTTGGTGGCAGCGGCCCTCTGTCAGCATTGGTTCCTTCGGCGCGGCAGCGGTTCTGGGAGTGGTGGCTCCCTTAGCGGCGGTGACGTCGGTGGCCAGTAGTGGCTCACAACAGTGGCCCAGGGGAGGGAGGCAGTCCATTTCCCTAGGCACGGCAGAGGGGGTTACAGCACCAGCGCCCCCAATTAAAGGGAAGTTAGGCGGCACGGCCTGCCTGGAGCCCTACGGGTGTCCTGAGGAGCTGGGTGGCACCTAAACAGTTCATAGGGATGACGGTTGATCAGGGAGCCATTAGGCAGCCACAAGGTGAAGGCATTAACTGCCACAGCTTGCCTGGGGGCCAACGAAGGGTGCACTCTCTCCGGTGGGGGGATGTATCAGTTAGGGCCTTGTTGTCCAGGTGCGGCTGCAGTTAGTAAGGCTGCTCCCGCCCCCCTCCAACTCCTGGGGAATGGTTTCGGGCTGGGTGGGTTAAAGACCTCACCTTCCTGGAATTTTTTCCAATTGTCATAGCAGTGTGGATTTGGTCAGTAGAGCTTGCAAGCTATACTGTCCACTTCTGGTGTGACAATCTGTCCACAGTGCATGTGATGAACTCGCTGATGTCCAGGTCTCCTAGGGTCATGGCCCTGGTCAGAGCCTTCACACTCTGCTGTTTGCAGAGTAATATTTTGTTCAAAGCTAGGCATGTCCCGGGGGTCAGTAACGGGGTCGCTGACGCTCTCTCCTGAAAACAAATGGAGAGATTCCGCCAGCTGGCTCCGGAAGCCAACCAGTTCCCAGTACAGATGCTGGCAGATGTGTGGCAGATTGGCGGGCTGAGGCCAACAGGGCGATAAGTTTAGCTCTCGCCCCCTCTACTCGGAGAGCTTATAAGAGGGCGGGTAAGCAGTTTTCTGTCTTTTAGGGAGGAAGCCGGTCGGAGGCAGGCTTGGCCCATACCAGTGTCCACTTTAGGGAGGAAGCCGGTTGGAGGCAGGCTTGGCCCATACCAGTGTCCCATTTGATGCAGTTTTGTGTGTCACTGAGAGGTAAGGGCCTGTCAGCGCGTTCCATCGGGTAAGCTGTCATCTCTCACCTATGCCAGTAAAGCATCTGGGTTCAAGGAGAAGACGGGCGACTTCCGAATTAGGATGATGCTTGAAGGCTGGTCATGGGAGAGTTTTTCTGAGATGGAATTATGCCCTGTGCAGACCTTACACCAGTATTCATTCATTCATTCATTCATTCATTCGATTTCTACCCCGCCCTCCCAGCAAGGCCAACTCAGGGCGGCTTACAACAATATAAAACAGTACAATAAATAATAAAACCCAATCAGACATAAATTTAAAACAATAACTATACAACTTAATAAAGTTCTAGCATTAAGTCCTCAGTGCACAGTCAGGATCATAATCTACCACAGATGTCCCAGGCACTCAAGTCAGAGTATACTTAGGGGACCCGGGGGGTCGGGCTCGCTCTCCAAGAACTGTCAGATGTCGATGGTGGCAGTGATGGTGGCAGCTCCAAAAACCTTGTGGAAGAGCTCCGTTTTACAGGCCCTGTGGAACTGTAACAGATCCCACAGGGACCTGATCTCCTCCAGGAGCTCATTCCACCAGAATGGAGCCGCCACCAAGAAAGCCCTAGCCCTTGTTGACGCAAGCCTGGCCTTCTTGATGTTAGGGAGGGCCAGCCAATTCTGGGTCCCCGGTTGCAGTGCTCTCTGGGGAACATATGGGGAAAGGCAGTCCTTCGGGTATGCAGGTCTCTGGCCATATAGGGCTTTAAAGGTAATCACCAGCACCTTGAACCGAATCCGGTATGCTATAGACAGCCAGTGCAGTTTTTTTTAGGGTGGGCTGGGTGTGTTCCCGCACAGGATGACACAACAACAGCCTCGCCGCTGCATTCTGCACTAGCTGCAGCTTCCAGATTTGGGCCAGGGCAGCCCCATGTAGAGAGCATTACACTAATCCAATCTCGAGGTGACCATAGTGCGTTGCCAAGTCGTTGCATTAGAAGGAAGGGAACCAACTGCCTAATCAGCCTAAGATGATAAAAGGCCAACTTGGCAGTGGCTGCTACCTGAGCCTCCATTGATAAGGTGTTATGTCTGCGGACCACCACCAGGGGTCTGCAGCCTCAATTCTTAGCTTGGTTCCAAATACAGTAGGGACCAAGGATACTAGTCAGTGCCGGCCCGAGGTTTTTCGGCGCCCTAGGTAAAGCTAGCGCCCCCCCAGGTGAGGCTGCCTTGTGGCGCCCCTCCTCACCTTGTGTCTCTCCCCCGCCGCCGCGTGCCTCTCCAACACTCAATCCAGGTGCTAAGCTGGGCGCATCAGGTGGGGGGGAGAGGGGGCTACAAGTCTCTTCGAAGGGCGGCCCTTCTGCTTTTTCTTTCCCCCCCCCTCCACC